ACTTCTTTTTTTTTTTTCTGAACTTTTTTTTCCCCCTAGGAAATACATACGACAGATCAATTATAGTTGATGGAGAAGAAGCATCTCTCGTGGTGTTTGATATATGGGAGCAGGTACTTACAGATTTAAGATATTTTTTTCTTTATGGCTTTGTCAGTGGTCCACTGTTTTTAAAAAAAGAAGGAGAAATGGAACAACTATGTCCACCTGTTTCTTTGATCAGATCAGTAACATTTAAAAAGTGATATTAAAAAATTAGAATTCATACTGCCTTTGTTCTGTCCTGTAACTAATTTCTTGTAGCTAGGCAGGCAATTTAAAAACCTGAGGAGGGCTGGAGTGAGAATCCCTTAATGCTTTGAATAAGCAGCAGCTTACATGAGCAGCCCAGGGAATTACTGTAAAAGTAGAAATTCACAATGTGATCTGTTCAGACCTGATACTATCACTGGAAACAAGACAATTTTGTTTTGAGATATATTTTAAACAATGAAATCTCTGGGAAAAAAAATTGGGAGGTTGGCTTACTTTTACTGACTCTTTATAATAAAAGCTAAGAAAAATATCTTTAAGGTGCTTACAATAATTAAATCATTAATCAGATTTGTTGCACTGAAAAAAAAAATAATCTGTTTCTTGCCTTTTTTTTTAGGATGACAGCCAATGGCTTCAGAACCACTGTATGAAAATGGGAGATGCCTATATTATTGTATACTCAGTGACAGACAAAGTTAGTTTTGAAAAGGCCTCTGAGCTAAGAATCCAGCTAAGAAGAGCAAGACAAACAGAAGACATTCCTATTATTCTTGTGGGCAATAAAAGCGACCTAGTCAGGTCCCGGGAAGTCTCAGTTGATGGTAAGAGACACTATTCATTTACACAGTAATGTCTAAATTAGCAGCAAAGGCTATGGAGGATCGTGGCCAATAGAAATGGTCTGGTTTTAACATAGAAGCATGTGTGAATCAAGGCAGACCAGAGAAATCAAGCCAGCAGGTTCATGCTGAGGGACTTAGTACCACAGAAAATAGCGGAGATGGTTGTGGGGGAAGATTTGTGATTGTGCAGAACAATGCTCTGAGCTGCAGTATAAGAAGAAAAAAAATGTGTCAGAGCTGCAGCTTTAGCATACTGTTTTGTGTGGGATTCCTTTTTGGTCAGTGTTAACTGAAAGGGTTTACTTGTATGTTATGTGTGCAGCAGCACTTGCTAGCCTCAAGGTCTGCAGCTTGAGCTATGCTTTTTAAGGGACAGGAGTGCCATGTCATAGGACCCGGGCAGCCTTTGAAAAGGGTGATCCCGTACAGCCTGTACAGTCCTCTTTCTTCAGAAGTGATTCTGTCACATTTGAGTTGAGCTGGTGAAACCAGGCTCACACAGCTTAGAAGTCTTTTTGTACATGTTCTCCAGTTGCGATCAGTGAGAACTTCCTCTGCTAGTTCTAGCTAGCATTTTGGTAACTAGAGCACAGTAACCAGTGCTAACACCACAGTATTCATTTCACTTATTTAAACATTTGGTGGTTTTGTTTTTTGGTTTGGTGTTTTCTTTGTGTGTGGTTTTGTGTTTGTTTTTTTTTTTTCCCCTGGGAAGAATACTCTGAAATATCAGTGCCTTGATGATGATGAACCATCTCTTGCTGTCTGGTTTTGCTATGTTCCCTGTGTTAAATGTCTCATAGAGAATTGACTGGAGTTCATCAGGAGATTATAACTTTTTGCAGGCTGGTGGCAGCGCATGGTTGACCTGTCCTAGCCATGCATCAGTACTTTGCTCAGGTTTATAACTTTGCCATTATTTACCACAAATTGAACGTGGAAATTTGCACTGCAGCAATGTTCCCGAGTTACATGCTTACATCTGGAACATTGAGCGTCTTGCATTTTGAACACAGTCTTAGTCAAATCCAATGGTGTACAACTTCATGACCTCTAGTGATCTGTTCAATGACTTGACCTTGTGGATTGTACCAGCTTCATTTGTAGCTAGCATGGAAAACTCTCACTTCTTACAGTAAGGCAGAGGCGCATAATTGCTGAACAACTTCCAGAAGAACTAAAACCCATTTCTTTCTGTACCTTATGCCATTTCCTATCAAACAGCAAGGATACATCCAAGTGCCTTTCCTATATCAGCTTTAGCTCTTAAACCATACTGGCATGGTCTGCCTAGAGGACTGTTGTTGCCTTATATTCGGTACCATTGGTCAAATGATATTTCTGACCATACCACAACAAAACCAAGAAGAGGAAGGGGACAAAAAACCCAATAACTGCAAATTTGGACTTTCTTATCATATAGTAAAGCTCTTTTGTGTCATTGACTTTAAGTAAGGAGAGTTTCTTCAACTTTTGTTTTGTTTTTCTGCCAGTGTATATAAAGAGAAAATATCCATCTCCACTCATCTCCCTTTTTCTCTTTCCATCCAGAGGGACGAGCCTGTGCTGTTGTGTTTGACTGCAAATTCATTGAGACCTCAGCTGCTCTTCATCATAATGTCAAAGACCTGTTTGAAGGTATTGTTCGGCAAATTAGACTTCGCAAAGACAGTAAAGAAGACAATGCTAGGAGAATGGCTAACACAAAAAGAAGAGAAAGCATAGGCAAAAAGGCAAAGCGATTCCTTGGGAGAATTGTGGCAAAGAACAATAAGAAGATGGCGTTCAAAGCAAAATCAAAGTCTTGTCATGACTTATCTGTGCTTTAGAAGCTATCGGCAAGGCCAGATGTTGCACGTGGGTGATGAACAAGCATTTGACTTATGAGAAGTGTATAGATGATCCTCATGGTGATAACAAGGATGACTTATCAATTGAGACTCTCATTAATGCCTTAAGGTGCGCACGCAAGTCTGGAAGTTACACTACAATGTCTGCTTCATTGATAAATGGTTTAAGTTTCAATGCGTGCAAGTAAATGAACTAACTTTAAGTGGCTTGACATACCCACATTTTCACTGTGTACATATGTTATATATCCTCTTGTCCTGTGGATACCAGAGATGCAAAGATAAGAAAGGATGATGATAAATATCACCACAGACTTGTCTCATTTGCAGAGCAAAACTTAAACTTGTACGCAGGCTCGTACACTCTTTTTAGTATAAAGCAAGCAATGATAAATCTTTTTAAACTTAAATGTGGAGAGGGGGGAGTAGAACCACATTAGAAAGGGAGAAATTAGATATATATATTTAAATACTGAACAGATATCATTTTATGAAGTTAATTTGCACTTCCATTAACCATTATTCAATTTGTTACTTGTTTACATGCAGATTTTATAATAAAGTATTATTTCCTGTTATAATAAACTGTGCTTTTCTCATAGTATGGATAAAGAATGAGAGCGCAGTATTTTTGTACTGACCTTTTTTCACTGTACAAAATGTTATACACAGACTATGCAGATCTACACATAAAGTTCTGGAACAAGATGAATCGGGGATATCCTGTGTCCTTTTCTTTAATAGTTTCTTTAAGAAGTAAACCTTGCTTTTATGAACACTGTACTTCAGCAGCTCATATTGGGAAGGGGTGATATGACCCTTCATATTATTGTTTATCTTCCACCCACCTGGATCTTGCCAGCTCTGGCACAAACAGGGCTCTATATGATGCCTTTAGTTAGATAGCTATCTTGTGTGTACACTGATAAATTGAAGTCTGCAATGTTCTAAGTCCTCTCCTGGCTTGAAGGTCTTGTGTTACAGCCAATAAGCAAATGTAGGAGTTTGGTCTTTGTTTTCATTTGGTTTGGTTTTGTTCTGGGAACAGTGTAACCTTCTAATCTACTCACAAGCCTGTGGATACCTTCCAGTCATTTCAAGAAGTTCAAAGGAGGCTGGCAAGGCTGTTTGAAAGAATTGTAGGTTTTAGTTGTGGTGTATGGTGGGTTTCAGTGCTGTTAAAGTTTTCATGTGAATTTTACTGTTATAATTAATGTGGTTCCATGATTTCTCCCTATTTCCTATTCATGAAGTTAAAAAGCAATCATATCTCAATGAAAAACTTGGACTTACTGCATTTGTTTTATAAATTCCTCTTCACAGGGTACATGCTCTTTAAATTCATCCATATCCCAGTTCTCAAACCCAGTAAAACATAGGTTCTTCTGTCTCTTTCTACTGTTCCTGCCTGAGTCCAGTTCTTTAGAGAGATTGTTCCAGCTGTCTGGGAGCTTGGTTTGCCCATGATTTTATGGGGGCTGACCTTTCCCATAAAGCAGGCAAATTCCATCAGCTGTTACACCTTACACTGAGCTTCCCTGAGCGTGAAGAAACAACTTTCCGTTGGGTTAGCCCAGTGCTTGGGCACTCATCAGGGAATGGTTCGTGCTGGGGGAAATTGCATCTGAGGTATAGCTCTGTAGAATTCTTGTCTCCTGATATGCTGCTGGTAGACCTTACTGGTTAGATGCACAGTTTAGCACATGTTACTGGTAACAGGTTACGTTTCTTATGAAGAAAAGTGTTTACTTTGTGTCCTGAGTGAATTCTAAAGTGAATAATTCCGTCCTGCTGCCAAAAGTCACATTTACCTGATGATACATTTTAATTGGATTTAGTTTTTTTTTGATTAGCCTTGCTTCCTGGCAAACTATTGCCACCGGAACGTCTATGGCACCAGGCATCTATTTACATGGAAGCTTTTAACTGTCAACACCAAACCAATTGCTCTAATTCTGAAAACTCTACAGCAAGTGTCCAAATTCATGTGCATAAATTTGGCATATACCTATTCATGCACATGCTAAAGTTACTCACAAAACTACACGGTGTTCCCTGTACATTTGCAAAGCTTCTGTCTTTTGGTTGCCCTGTGCTTTCAGAATGACCAGGAGAGGACTGACATGTTTGATTGACTTGCAAGATTTAATTCTGTCAATAATAAATACAAGGAACGGGATGCAAACCCAGAGTTTAAGATACCACATTTCGCAAAGTGCAAAATGTTACAAAGAAGTGTCGCTCTTAATGCTGCAATATAACTGCAGCTGCAAAGCCTCTTCAAGGTCATGGTTACCAGCTGTGCTTTTTGCACACACTGACCTACAAATTAGATGTTTTACTGTGTTCATGAATTCAAAGATTAGGTTTGGACAACTCTTAAGCCTAAAATATTTCTGAGATGCTCTAGCGCATTGCTAGAGGTTCATTTAAACTGTGGAAAATAATATGTATTTTGAAAGTATGGTATATAGGACGCTGTGAGACAAACTGTGAATCACTCTAAAGAAACTTGGGCTAATCGATAATGTAATCTATCAGTTAATGTTGTACAATAAAATACTTACTCAAATCCTCATAATATTTTTTTTCATTCATTTGTTTGTATAGGGATTGGCATAATTCTGCCATGGTTGATGAAAAGAGGGAGGGTTTGCTGTTATAGCAGCTCTGACAATAACCTGCTCTACACCATGATCATATTCTAATGCTATAGAAGTATTACCATGAATACTATTTTGCAGAGATTTTGTAACTCCTGGAAGATTTTCTACCCAGAAAAAAAATTAATTTATCAGATGTCATTTAGGGGAATTTCCAAGCAGACTTTTTGAAAGTACATGTGCAACACCAGCCAAAAGTCAGTAATGGGCACCTAAATGACAAATGCCTCTAAAAATCAACCTTCTTCAAAAGGTTATTTGTATCCTCCAGCATTTGAGAGTCATCTATAGCTTTTTGTAGTTTGAGATCTTTTATTGGTATGGATACTCAGATTCATGTCATCATTAATGGCATGATGACATGAATCTACACCATGTGAAAAATAGTGAGTCCCAGACAGCAGTATTTTCTCTAATTATTACCAGAGTAAAACAGAGTGTAAAGGGTAACAGTGGTGTGAGTTTTCTTATTTTTTGCCAATGTACATCAATTTTAACTTGGAGGGACATTTCACAGAATCATTTAATCTTTACTGCTTCCACTGCTCTTGCCAGCTGAAGTTCCTATTAGTGCTAATTGTGGTGGTGGATTTTGTGTTGGCACAAATCCATTTGGAGCAGCTAGTTATTAACAACTACAGTGGAAGGACATTGCCTTTTATATGTGACACATATGTTAGGTAAACAAATCAAAGCCTCCTCTGCTTGCTATTGCTAAACTAGCTCCTGTAAATTCTTCACCATATGAAAAATGTGAAGAAAATAATTCCACCATCTGCCAAAACCACAAAGCATAAAGTCACATCACATAAATATAGACGAAATGTTAACTGCTAGGGGAAGACTTAGCATCACCAAAAATGTAGTTTTACTCAGATGTATTTTCTCAAAATAGGACTAGAAAAAACAAGGCATAATCTGCATAGTAACATTGCATAACACCACTGTGCTTTACTGAAAAGGAGAGTATAGTGAGTTGACAATGATTAAGAATCCAGTGTATGATAAAAGATTGCTAAGATGTAGTCTAAAAAAAGTGGTGTAATACTTACTTATATTATGCTGAAATTTGCTTTAGTACTTTTAATTTTATTTAGAGATAATGTACAAGTTTAATTGCAAGTACCTTACAGAGACCTCACTGAATCTGCAGTCACAGTCAAAGGTGATGTCTGTGCATTTCAAGATCACCATCTCATTTACAATTTACCACATGATCTCTAGCATTATAATGGACAATTAGACTCCCTCTTTCAATAAAGGAACATCTGAACTCCAATAATATTGAAGTTATTAATTTCTAGAAATTGAAAGAGTAAATTACGTCAACTGTCCTTGTGCTCTATGACATGGATATTGAATAGAGAAGTAAAAGATAAAAAGAGAGAAGAAATGCCCATTGCGTATCTGCAAATAAGATTTCTCTAACCCACTGTTCAGAATCCAAGGGGGAACAACATTTTTTAACTTAAAAATGTGCTAAGAATTCTAGCACTAGAAGGTAGGAAGCAGCCTAAGAAATGTACTTCTATGCTGAGTTCTTCACCAACAAAATAGTATTAATTATGTACCACAAAAATATTCTGGCCATTGGGTAAAATGGGTAATGTATATTCTAAAGACTCGCCTCTCTCATGTTCTCTATTTTCTCCTCCTGTTTTTCCTATTTATAAATGTGCTGTCTGAATGAATCATTGGAAACCAATTAGGAGCTTACAGATTTTTTTCTAATACTTTCCATGTTTATCACAGGAGCTGAAGAAAATATTAATCTGAATTAAAATTTAGCAGATTCAGAGGCTGAAATAGAGAATAGATTTGAAAATATTAAATTTCTTATCCTCCTAAAAAAAGCTTCTCTAAAGGTCCAAAACAGGGTCTAGAGAAAGGACAGGATTTGGAAAGCAAGAACTCCTGCTCAGAATAATCTAGTCAGATCCATAAAAAGCTCCTCAGTTTGTTTCTGGCAGTAAGTCCCACTTTCATCAGCCTCATTACACTACCATAAATAATTACACTACTGCTAGGTTTGCAGTCCCCCTGAAGGTTGTGACCCTTACTTTGGAAATGACAGTTTTCAGTTCAGTAGATGCCTTGGCAGAACAACAGTGATTTTTGTCACATCTAAATTGGATTATTGTAATGCATCATGCTTAACAAAGAGCTTTCAGGAGCTCCAGGCGTGAAGAGATATAGCCACGTTAATTAAGCTGGCTAGGTCAAAATGAGCACATAACTTCTGTTCTCAGGCCTGCGTTCCCATACGTTTTTAGGTGAAGTGATGATCTAGAAAACCTGTAAATAGCATTGGACATGACTAACATTGAAAATGCTTCTCTTTGTTGCATGTTTCTTGGCTGGCTACAAAGCTTGTTGAACTCACTGTAAAGTCAGCAGCGCTGCTTGATTTTGGACTGCTCAACAAGAACAATCTTTGCATTTCTAATTGCAGATATTCAGGTATCTTACTACAGGTATTCAGGCCACAGCAGTTCAGTGCATTTGACACTGCAATGGTAACTGCAAGAGATCGTGCCCTATTTATTACTCCTGCAGATCAAGGATGAAAAAAGCATAAAGCAACAGAAATACATCTTAACTGAACTAGAACATATGGTGAATTTTAAAACTCTGCCAACTTGCATCAGCTCCACTTCATTACTGGCCTGCTATTGGAATTTATTGAGGAGTGTTCACCAACCTTCCTCAATGAAAAGAATAATGCAACTCCATTTGGGTATCAGCCAGGTGCTGAACAACTTTCTCACAGATTTTTCAGCTATGGGTATCTCAGTTACAGGGCTTCTTTGTCACACGCTTTTCATGTCAACTTCAATTTTATCTTCTAACCTCCATTGTTACACATTGTCACCCTTGCAGCAGTGGCTCAGCAGTACGGTGGGAATGGGAAAGTGGCACTCC